TTTGCAGATGACACCAAGTTGGGTGGGAGTGTCGATCAGCTCGAGGAGTGTGTCCAGAGAAGGGCAACGAAGCTGATGGAGGGTCTGGAGCACAGGCCTTATGAGGAGCGGCTGAGGGAACTGGGACTGTTTAGTCTCGAGAAGAGGAGGCCGAGGGGTGACCTTATTGCTCTCTACAACTACCTGAAAAGAGGTTGTAGTGAGGTGGGTGTTGGTCTCTTCTCCCAAGTAGTTAGTGATAGGACAAGAGGAAATGGGCTCAAGCTGCGCCAGGGGAGGTTTAGATTGGATATTAGGAAAAAATTCTTCACGGAAAGAGTAGTCAAACATTGGAACAAGCTGCCCAGAGAGGTGGTGGAGTCACCATCCCTGGAAGTGTTCCAAAAACGGGTAGACGTGGCGCTCTAAGGACATGGTTTAATCTAGTCTACCCTTGATTGGTTTAGTGTGGACTTGGTAATATTAGGTTAATGGTTGGACTGGATAATCTTAAAGGTCTTTTCCAACCTAAATGATTCCATGACTCTATTCTGTGATTCTAAGCTTGTGATGTTTAGCCTCTTAAGTATGAACAAAGAAACGTTCATGTTTCTTGGCTTGTTGTGAAGAGGCTGTGGTATCACTTTTGTTTTCAAAGGTTTGTTACAGCAACTTAAAAAAATGTTAGGTCAGAAATCATGTGGATCGAGTTGATCATGCTTGGAAAAGGGAATTGTCCCATTCTGGGAACTGGGCTGGATGGCCGGTAAGTTCCTTGTTGGAATCATAGACTTACTTTTTTTCTCTATGACTGAAAACATTTAGGATGAATAATAGAATATCTGAAAAGTAAAATAATGAGCTCTTGCAGGACCTTGCTTTAAATACTAAATAGTCAGACTTCTATTTTTTTGTTCAGGATACTTTTTTAGCTATATTCACATTAAAATTGTTTTGCTCCAATGCTCACACTAGTGTCTGTTTGGGTCTCCTAAACAGTGTACTCAGTGCATCCAGCTGATTGAAAATGCAGTTTGTAGGTATAAATTAGCTCTTGATAACTTAAATAATCTTGAGCTACCTATGTTTTCACAGTTGTGGTATTTATTTTGCAGTCTGTATAGGGCAAATATGTACCATCTTTTTTGCAGGTGTTTCTTCCCTTTTTAGCCTCAGAACTGGACTAATTTTCTGTAAGCATGATTTTTCTCTGGGTTTTAATCCCCTCTCAGGTTCAGAGAAAAAAATTGGCTTCCCTTCTCATACCAGCTAGGTTCAGGGTAGGGCTCGCCACTGATGGCCACTGAAAAGATGGACTGGGTGCTAACGCAGCAGTATCCAGGATGGCATGAGGCGGAGGAGTAATTGAGAGGCTGACCTGAGGCTGGATGTTGGAGGTCTAAGGAGGATCTCGGCATGACAGTTTGGAGGAATTGCGAATTCAGTATTGAATGGCTTGATTGGGAAGAGATTTGAAGTGGGGTGGAAGGGGTGGCAAGGATTTAGGATAGAATAGTGAAGGATGGGGCAGTTGGAAGGATGGGTGTGAGAGACTAAGTGGCTGAAAGTGCGGTATGGGGCTTAAACTTAGGGATGGAGCACATCTGAAATGGAGTGAATTTGGAGGATTGAGGGTCTTGTATGGTTTGTAAAGAGCCTCTGGGGCAAGTGGAGGGCGGAACCAAGGTTGGTAGGGCAAAGGCCGAAGGAGGGAATTTGAAGGACTCCTGGTCAGGTGAGATGGTGCTCTGTGGAATTGTGAGGTCTCCAGGGGTGAAGGTGAAAGCTTTCTATGTGCCCAGAATATAGCTCACCAGAATTTACTTTGGAATTGAGAACAGATGTCCATGTCCTCCTTTACTACATTGTACAGTAGTCTTTAACAGAGATGGCTTTCAGAGACACAATGGGCAGTCAAGTATAATGCTTCCTTTTGTCTTTTACAGACCATCTCAGGAGATTTTTCTTTAGTTTTGATGCTGTCCAAAGTAACTGAATTTAATCTCATCTTAAACTCAATTTGATTTTTGTACCCTGCACTGAAAACTTTGTTGTTATTTTTGTGTTCTTGTTCAGGTCTACTCAAGGAAGTAGAATTTTTAGCAAAGGAGAAATTAGAGCTTCAATGTCAGGCAGAAAAGGATCATTCCAACTTACTCTCTCAAATGAAAGTTTTGGAGGTGGAACTGGAAGAACAGCTGCATAGTAATCAAGACCTGGCTACACAGTTATTGGAGGTTTCTGAATTAAAACAGCAAGTTCAAGTTCTTGAAAAACAGCTTAAAAGCCAGCGGCAATTTATGGATGTAAGCAAGCTTGGTACCTTGGTTTTGGAGGTGATAAATACTCCTCCTAGTTTGTGGCTGAGACTTGGAAGATGGTTCCTAAAATGGGATACTTTTCATTTTGTTTGAAATTAACACCTTGGTATTCTAGTCTTGTAAAAGAAAAAAAAAAGGTATTTTTAAAATTCCCTTTCTGTAGTATTACAGGATAATTTTTTCCTTTTTATTAATTGCTAATTGTAGTTTGTATGTACATTGGAGTCAAAAAGGTTTGGGTTTGTTGTTTTTTTTTTTTTTTTTTCCCCTGTAATTTTAGCTGTGCTTTCAGGACTACTAAAAGGTGTTAATTATTTTTAAGTGAGCATAGTTTCTTCATCAAAACAAATGCCAAATTTTTCTTGTACTCAATATTTTAATGAAATGCAAAGTTTCTTAAGAAAAGATTTTTGTTATCTCTGGCTGGGTTTATAGGAACAAGCTATAGAAAGGGAACACGAACGTGATGATTTTCAGCAGGGACTTCAGAAACTGGAAGAACAGTTAAAACTTTCAGGAAAATCACAGACTTCAGGAGAGCCCAGAGAATATAGGGTGAGTAACATCACACTTAGTGGCCAAAGGAGTTTGTTTACTACAATTAAATACCAAATCGTATTGTCTTGGGGGACTGGCTCTTGAGAAACCTTTTTTTCAAAGTGTTTCCTTAGCTGCAGAATTGCAGCACTAGCTTTCTAGCAACATGGTGTTAAAAAACACACTTTCCATGTGTGAAGTGTCATAGTGGTGGGGATTCTGATGCCAAAATTTTATAGCATTAGAAAGTATGTGTCTTCTAAAAGATTTTTCTATACAAAAAGCTTTACTGTAAGGCCTGTGTTATGCTTAACAGCCAATTAATTGCTGATGAGGTGAGAAGGGAATAAGATATATACATAATTAAGGAAATGTATATGTGCCTGTAAGCAGTTGAAAATGTAATGTTAATCACTTTTGGTATTCTTAACTAGTCTGTGACACTCTCCATGCTCATAAATTTAACTAAATTAACTCTGTTCTTCTGTATTTTGCTAGAGGGTGTTTTTCTGCTTTAGTAGTATCTGTACAATACTTTGAAGATGTAAAGTTCTATATTAATACAAAGAATTTTTATTTTGATAATATCGAAGTGGAATTTGCATAAATTCAGACACTTATTGATGAAAAAAGCATTTATTTTGTAAAATCCCATCTTCCTTGCTCATTGGTATTGACCAAATTATTTCTCCTTTAGAAGGTTTCCCATTGCTTTCCTATTTGAGATTGTTTTCAATGTGCTTAATGACTATCCATTCTGACATAATCTGTCTGTCACACTTAGTTCTCTCCTGCCTCTGTTACGCACCAGATCTCGCAGCCTTGCCTTCACATTAATTACTGGGATGAACGAGTGACCATTTTCCTGCAGTTCTGTGCATGATTGGATCTCAGTGAGCTCAAATGCAAAATTGTTATCCTCTTCATATTTAAGCGATTTTTGGAAAAAGAATACCTGTTCTATGTTGACTACTATGAATCTCTCTGATTTGCAGGCATTGAGTATGTTACATTGCATGTTTATCTTTCAGTTCTTGGTATCTTCCTTTAAACTGGAATTCCTTGAAATAATGGGAGAGGGTTCTGAGGTTACAGAAATACATCTAATGCTATTAGTAATAATTCATGTAATCTTGGGTTTTTTAATCTTAAATAAACAAACAAAAGACCCAAGAAAAGAAAAAAAAAACAAAAAAAAACCCCACACCACAAGGCCCCTTTTGATGACCACTGGGCCTTGAGAGTATGCCTTCATCCAGTGCTTTGCTACAATACTGCAAATATTAAGAGAGAGTAATCAACTGTGTATTTAAGAGCTGCTGCATTTGCAAGACAAGATTTCAGAAAGTTGTTACTTTTTCATCCTTTCTGTCCAAATCTGGTTTTACTTTAATCTGGGATTTTAGCACAGTTTAGTCCATAGTAAAACTCCACCTGCTTTGCCATGAAAATACTCTTGCTTCCAACTGGAAGTTTGTTATATTATCTGAATATCTGTATAATGTGATTTCTGTATAGGTAGATTCTTTGCAAGCAGAAATAAAAGAGAAGATAGATGATTACAACAAGCTGTTATTAGAAAAGGAGCAAAACCACCAAGAAATTACAGCTCGTGATAAAGAGATAGAAAAACTGGTGGCACAGATACGAGAACTGGAGCACAGCGGTACTGAAGTCTCAAAGACTGTACACTACTTGGAACAACAACTGCAAAAAATGAAGAAAGTGGAAACCGAACTAAAACAAGTAATTTTAAAGTACTTATTTAAATGGGAGTGACATTATGCAGACAGTGTCATCAATGACTTGTGTTAGTGTTATTTGAGACTATCTCTGGCACCTAGTGGTGAGTTAAACTGTTGTATTAATGGCAGGTATTGCAGCCACAGTGTTAAACTCTGGTTTTATGAACTACAAGCCTAGTTACTATAGAGACTGCTTTTTGACAGTTGTCATGTTTGCATGGATCAGAGCTGCTCTTTTGCTTCTCTGGAAATTCCTGAGAAGATAGGGTTACTGAATTAAACATTGTGGGCCTTCAATAAATAACTGTGTTCAATATCATATTATCTTAATTGGTAGCTCTTTTTGCTATGTGCTTTTGGAGCCAGATCTGTTTGCCATACTCTAAAATTGTTAGTGCTTTGTTGCTACTGCAGATTGAATAACAGCTTAGAATTAAGAATTACATTCCATTTAGCAAAAGTATTTGTCTTTTACCAAACATCCGAGTAACCTTTTCTACTTTCTTAAACTAAACTTTTTGGTTTCCTCCCAGCAATTTTCCTTGGTTAAGTATTGTTGGTGTGTCTGTCAAGTTTGAAGATTTGACAATGGCATGATCTAAACTAAATTTATTAGTTTAATTGCTGATTCTGTAAATATTTGCTTCCATTTTTTTTTTCATTTTAAAAATATTGAACGAAACAGTCTTTTGCTTTAGCTTCAGCTAATGTGATATAGACTAGCCAGTCTTAGTTTATTAGGTACTATTATTCCTATCTATTTGGCACTTGTGGGATTGCATCTGGAGAAGTGCTTGGTTTTAGATTCCCATGTACAAGAAACACATTGGCATACTGGAACATGTCTAGCAAAGGACCATCAAGATGGTCATGGGGCTGGAGCAAATGATTTTTGATGAGAGGCTGAGAGAATAGGGTTTGTTTAGCTTTGTGGAGATCTTATTGTTGCCTACAATCACATAATATGAGGTTATAGAGAAGATGGAATAAGCCTTGGAGGTGCACAGTGGAAGGATGCAGCAAGGGAAATTCCAATTAAATGGTAGGGGGAAGCAGTCATACTGGGGGCAGCCAAATGTTGAAAATGGGGCTCAAGTGGCAGTGGTGTCTCTGACTTGGAGATGTTCAGAATTCAGTTGGCTGAGGCCGTAAGCAGAAGTTTGTTCTGGTTTGAGTCAGAGGTTGGACCAGAGAGCTCTAGAGACCCTCCCTTAAGCTATTCTGTGTTTTTATCCAAACATACAAAAGCCATGACCATTAGCTTTGTCTGGCTTGCCTTGGAGTGGATGGAGACTCTGATACTGCTGTTGGCAAGTTGCTCTTGTCTCTGAAATCTTAGCTTTCTGTTAAACAGGCTTTCTTTATCCATAAATTCAAAATATTCTTTTAGCTTTCTTAAATACCCTAAATAAGCCAAATTGAGACTTTTTTCTTTGTTACAAGAAACTAATTCATCGGCTTTAAACAAGCTATTTGCCAGCTGTAATTGAAGCAATTTCAAGCAGTAAGTAAGTGCCAACGAAGCTCTAAGAATGATTGCATGTCATGAAATTTTTCTGTAAAAATACACTTGATGTGAATGGCAGTTACGGATTTTTATTGTCCCCCAAATTCCAACATATGAAAAATGTAGGTATTGCAGATAATGGAGACTAGCGCTTTAAGAAACAGGTCTGGAAAGAGTAATTTTGAATATGGAATCGTGTCTTTTTGTAAAGAATACTGACTAAACTCACAGCTATCAGATCTATTTATCCTGTTGTCATGTACATGGAGCAGGTCTTTGGTTTTCCCTGGCACCATTCCTTTCAGTTGTTCAGGTTGTTGATATGCAACATTGACACTTCTGGTTAGGGTTGTGCTGGGAGGATTGCTCGTCCTTTGGCTTGAGGTCTTGAAAGTGGGGGTCATTTAGGGAGCCTGCTATCCTATGGATTTTGGTATCATAGAAAAAAGACACCGCATTAGACTGCATCTGCATGGCCATCCAGAAGAAGGTTTTACAGTGAAGGTGCATTACATAAAGCTCTGATTTTTTCCTGGGTTGCCTCTGGCTTCTGCTGGGTCACTGTAGCAACCTCAGAACATAGCAACTGGAGAATGCTAGGAGAAGCTTAATTCTTGTATGCAGAGACGTGCTGACACCATGAGCTAAGGCACACTTGCAGCTCTGCTGTCCAGTAAATGAGGAACATCTGAGGTAAGGCAGCCCAGTTCTGCAGGAATCTGGATTTGAACATTGTTACTGGAGGTTTTTCGTCAGTGATCAAGATGAGCTTTAAAATGGTGTGGGTAACATCAACATTTTAGTTAGGCTTTTAGTTGCTTGGGTTTCATTGTTATGTGTGTCCTTTCATGTACAGCAGCAGGACACCTGAGGGGCTGGTTAATATCACAGGTTTCTTGTGATAGCAAGAACAGTTTTAATTTTTCTCTTCAGGACAAACAAAAATATTGCTGCGGTAGGTGCTTTCCTACCCAAAAAAAGTGCAGTTGATACTGTCATATTTATTACATTTGTTTTTTATCCTGCCAGTGATAATAGGTGTGAATGACACAGCTTTGTACGCTAAAAGGCTGTCTCCCCTATAATTTCCTCTTGTGTGCTGTGTGTGCCTGGACTGCCCCCAGAGCTGGCCAGAAAGCCAGTGGGGACTGGCTGGGGCTAGTGGGTGGAAATCAGATGGCCTATTTAGTATGGACATGAACTGTTTTAAATACCTGTTCTTGGGCATGCTGTTTTGATACTGTGATACAGTGTTAACTTTGCAATTTATTTTTTATTTTTTAATTGATGCTTCTTTCATTTTAAGATCAGAAGGTGCTCTCCATGTACTGTAGGTCTTAGTTCTTTTTGATTAGAGAAAAGATGGTCAAATACTACATAATTTTTTGGCAAATCATACGATGAGTCTAAAATAACTCTTCTGTTAGAGGTATGTGTATTGAGCTATGGGCACAATAAGTGCTGAACAGCAGAGGCTGTTACTGCCTTAGGTTTCTTGCCCAGCTTTCCTTTATTGTATTAAGTACAGATATGTATGCCTGTTTGGATGACTTCCCAAGTGAAGCTTTCCTCCTTGGACTGTCCCAGCTCCTGAGAAGGACTGTGAGAGAAAGAGGACCAAAGGAGAAGTTTTTAAAATACATAAATAAAACTATGGTAGCTTGACACACCACAGATCTGACAGAAACTTAGTGCTGGTGCTTCACATTCTGACTTAACATGATGTATTAGTAGGTTTTTGACCCAAAACACTCCGTCTCTTAAATTAAAATAAGACTCCACCTCTTAAATTTAGCTTGGCAAATATATGGTATCATAATAAATTTGGAAATGGCTACAAGAACAAGATGTTTAGGTTATTAAATATATAAAATACTGTGTAATTGAGAAAGTATAATATATCACTGAATGCTAAATTTTCAGTTGTTAAACGTGGGTTAGAAAAAAATAAAGGGGTAAAAACTTAAGTGAGCTAAAAATATTCAGTTGTTTTGAATTCCTATTCCTTTATAGGCTATTGGGATTATGTACTTTTCTTGTACTGGGGTTTGTCAGGGATGATGAAGTATTTTGGCAGGATTGTTGTGGTTAAGTGGGTGTGTATATTGAAAACAATTAATTCTAACATTAAAAAATATTTTGCAGGATAAAGAGGCATTGCAACAGCAACAGTACAATAACCTGATTCAGATCTCCGCCCTACAGTCTAAATTGGATGAAGCGAGGCACAGAGTACCGGCAGACAGCAGTTCTGCCCCAGTTCTGAAGGAGCAGTTACAAGCAGAGCAGGAGGCGCTTCAGATGAAAGAGAGAGAGGCAAGAGTTTTGGTAGGGTCCTGTAGACTTCCAAGTCACTCAAGTAATTGCAGAAACACTTTGTGCAAAGTTCTAACTGGTAATTTAAACCATTCAAAAACCCAGTGACTAATGGTATAGTAAATATGCCTTCTTACCCAGTATTCTCTATGCTTTGGTGTTAACTAACCTTCCTTTTCCTTGCTTTGTTCTGTTTTGTCATCCCCCTGTCTATCCATCTCCCTTCCCACTGGAAACTGTCTTGTGATGATTCACATCAGCTTTGAGACTGATCAATATCTGTTGTAAACTGATTTTCCTTTCCTTCCAAAGTTGAAGTGGAGTGGAAGGTAGATATATTTTTGTTTGATTTTGAGAGAGAGTGATAATTCCTTTAAGAACAGAAAGGACAATTACCCATAGTGGCGTCATCTGACCTTCTCTATCTGAGCCAGAGAATGTTAGCAATGAGTTCTTGTGGCAGGCTAAGCTGAAATGCGTTGTGATTCATCACATTTACAACTTTTATTGGATTTACTCTCACAGATACATACACACCCCCCCCCTCCCCGCCCCGTATGTTTGTGTAATATTGCATAATTATTATAGTATCAGTAGTGTACAAACATACAGTCCAGTTTAGGATGTGCAAAGAACAACAATATGGGTGATCATCCAGTTAATTGTACACCATTGTTTCAAGAGCAGTAGGATGATAAATACTAATGTCTTAGAGATGGAAGTTCCATGTCTCTATGAAGTCTGACTTCATGAGCCACTAAGCCTTTTTCATTATCAGTACTTTGGTTTGGCAGCTGAGGAGGTGGAACACTAGCTTCTTACTCTTTTTATGTCTCAGGTATTTTATTAATGCAAACTAATTAGAGTTTAAATTATGGAATTTACTGAAGTTACTTGCTCTCAGTAAATAAGGTGATGAATGAAGTTTTCTCTTTTCTGCTTAAATAAGAAGACCTAATTGAAAGAACTATGCATTTTCTTCTTTTTTTTAGATTGCAAGCTTGTTAGACCAACTAGAACAATATAAAGATAACTTGAGCAGTAAAAATGAGGAGATATTGCAGCTGAACTTGCAGTTAGAGGTGCAAAAAAAACTTAGCACTTCCAGCATCAGCCAGTTGCAGTTAGAGAACGCACACTTGAAGGTAGGTTTCCTTAGCTTTAGTGTGTACCAGCTAAAACTTCAGAGACCTCCTTTCTTGAGTGTTGTGGTCTTAGAATCATAGAATGCTTTGGGTTGGAAGGGACCTTTAGAGATCATCTAGCCCAACCCCCCTGCAGTGAGCAGGGACAGCTTTAACTAGATCAGGTTGCTCAGAGCCCCATCCAGCCTGACCTTGAACATTTCTAGGGATGGGGCCTCCAACTACCTCTCTGGGCAACCTGTTCCAGTGCTTCACCACCCTTATTGTAAAAACTTTCTTCCTCATATCCAGTGTAAATCTATTCTTCTTTAGTTTAAAACCATTACTCATTGTCCTGTCACAACAGGCCTTGCTAAAAAGATTGTCCCCATCCTTCCTATAGGCCCCCTTTAAGTACTGAAAGGCTGCAATAAGGTCTTCTTGCAGAATGAAGGTCTTAATTTTGTGATGTTATAAACGGATACTTAGTTTGTTTCTCTTGTCAAGGCAATACTGCATTACTGTTACAAGGCTAATGCTGGTTATTGTAGAACAAAAAGCCCCCAGTACTCTAGATTCATGCTTATGGCATTATCTTCTACAGTCATTTGATTTAAATAAAAAGCTTAGCTTTTTTCTAGCCCTGACAGATTATGAACTACAGTGTAGTCATTTAGCAAACACTACACAATTTTGTGTGCATTCCTGACCTCTACAGCCACAGCAAATGTTACAAGTTGGCAAACTGGTTGGTTGTCAGTCTGGCAACTAGAGTGTTTGTCTCTTACCCTTGAAAGTTGAGAAAAGTTGTGGCAGTCTAATCCAGTGGTACCAAATTAGCTGTAGTTGTGTTCTTGAGTTCTTTGACATTATAGTAAGGAGGAGAATGTTTTGTTCTGCCATTAGGTTGGGAGAGAATGTAAGTGCTTTCTAATGAGATTGCTGGTTTTTCTGACCAGGAGGATCTAACAAAACTTCATGTGAAGCAAAATCAGAACCTGGGTATTAGTGATTCCTCAGCTTTGCCATTCCCACAAGCACTACTTAAAGAAAAGAATCAAGAAATCGATCACTTGAATGAACAGATGAAGAGGCTTCAGCACGAGCTAGAGAATACTTTGGAGAATAAAGTAAGAGTACTTACTATAAGTTCATTGCTTGATTTTTGAGGGAAGCAAGGGGTACAGAATCTTATTGTAATTGAAATCTATTTGATAATTCCCTTAGGAAAGTAGTGAGTATTCTGAGTAGCTAGCAGCTGAAGTGTGCAATTCTTCCTGCTGTTAAATGTGTGATTTAACACCTGCGTGATTCAGAAGAAAAACATAATTTAAACTCTATGTGCAATAGTAACTCTGCCTACGTACAGTACTATTCAGACCTTATCCTTTTGCTCAGGTTGTGGAAGACCAAAAATCTGAAATTGAGGAACTAAGATCACTTGTTGAGCACCTTCGCGGCGACCAGGAAAGGCTGCGTAAGGACAAAGATGAAGAGGTAGAGCAACTCCATGGAGTAATTGAGAAGCTTCAAAAAGAGCTGGCAGAATTTGGACCGGTATGTCATGAAGTTAGTGACAACCAAGATGATCTCTATCAACTTGCATTGGGAAAGCCAGTGGAAAACCTTCAGAATGAGTTGAAGGGACTGGTAGATTGTCAGAGTGATACTGATCCAAACAGAAGAAACGCATTGCTACTCTCCAAAGTGAGAGAACTTCAGGAGGAACTAGAGCTTGTCTCAACTGCTAGAGAAGGTCTGCAGCAGCAACTGGAAGAGAAGGAATCGCAGTTCAAAATGGAAGTGGAAATTTTGGAGAAAAAATGCCAAAAATTACGAGAGTCATCAGAGCAGCACATTGCAGAGCTGACCTCTCTGAGAAAACAGTATGATGCGCTTCAGGAAGAGTACAGCCTTTTCCGAACACATTTTTCTCAGAGAGAGGTTGAAGCAAGGATGACTACTTCTTGCATTCAAGAACTTGAAGATACTGTGAGAGAAAGGGAAGCACATATTCTAGAGAAAGATCTGCAAATGAAGGCAATGGCAAATCAAAGAGAAGCTGATACAAGCAAGTTGCAGTACTTAACAAAAAAGGCAGTAGAGCTTCAAACCCTGTTGGAAAAGAAAGATGCGGGTCAGGCTCACGATGTTTGTAGTCTTCAGTTAGAAGTTTCTAGACTTGATTTCCAGGTGCAAGCACTGAATCAGAAAGAAGTAGCTTATCAGAGAGAAATCAATGAACTGCAAGGCAGCACTGCAAAACTGAAAGATCAAATTGAGGCATATGTGGAAGAGCTTGAAGCCTTACGACTGGCAAGAGGTGAACTTACTTCGCAGTTGGAGTCGTACAAGCCAAAGGAGCAACGTGATCATGAAGAGACTAACCTTCTCAAGCCGTTCTGCTGGAAAGAAAAAAAAGGCAAAACCCTTAAAAAAGGAATGGAGGAATTGAAAGAACTGGAAGCAAATGTTGATCAGTCATTTTCAGTACTGGCTTCCCCTACTGATAAACTGGTATGTGATTTGTTTCTTAAAAGTATTATTTGATTTTTAAAAATAAAAAAAAATTTTGTGTGTCAGATACAGTCCTATAGTTTATCCTTTTCAGTGCTGTAAGAAAGGGTGAAGGTGAATACTGTGGCATAAAAATGGCTGTGGTGAGTCAGTTGAAGGGTCTGTTTATCTTTGTGTAGTTTCTCCTGTAGTGGCTAGATGTAGGTGCCTGGAAGGTCTAAGAACAGGGCAAGGATGCATGGAAAACTAATCCAGTCAGTTTTTCTGAGCTGGATATGGTTTTGGGCATGGATCCTAAGGTATGTATAGGGTGTAGGTGGCAAGGTGTTGGCATTAGGGGAGCTGCAGGGGGGCCTCTGTGAAGACAGGCTGGGGCTGCTTCATGCTGGGCACAGCTGGTTCCACCACAGGACACAGCCAAGCCTGTCAGCCATGTGCATGGCATCACTGAGAAAACATATTTAAGAAAGGGCAAAACACTGCACAGCTGGTGAGGAGTTGGGGGGGAGCAGGGGGGAGAAGTGTGAGATACATCCCATGGAAGAGCCCATGCTGGAGCAGATATCCACACTGCAGGGGAGGAGGTAGAGGAGTTTGGAATGAAGGAGTGAAATTGAGCCTGGGGAAAAAGAGGGGTGGGTGCTGTTTCAATATCTGTTTCTTGCCATCCAACTCTATTTTTAGTGGCAATAAATAAAATAAATTTTCCCCAAGTCAAGTCTGTTTTGCCTGTGAGAGTAGTTAGTAGGTGATAACCCTGTCTTTATCTCCACCTACAAGCTCTTTCCATCTTATTTCCTCCCTGTGATCTGCTGAGGAGGGAGCAAGAGAGCAGCTGGGTGGGCATCTGGCAGCCAGCCAAGGTCAACCCACCCCAAGCTACTAGGACAATGTTTGCCATGCTTAGCGGCTGTCTTGGAGAACTACTTGAAAATACTTTGTCATGTATCATATTTTTTTAGAAATCTTTATTTACTGTGACTCTTTCTCGTATTTACCTTCAATCTTTTCTAGAACCATTTGCTCCAGATAACCTAATCTGAACTTTTATTAAATTACTCAATTTTGGAAAGCAGTAGGACCCAGATGACCTGTTTTTCAGAGACTGTAGTTGTCTGTCATATACCAACTTACTGTTTTTTAAGGCTGGCTTACAGATGTGATAAGTGTTAGTAAGAGGACTTAATATGAAAAGAGTTTCTGAGTGCATAGGAAAGTAAAAAAATTAGGTGTCAGGTTTATGTGGATTTTGCGGGTCTGGACCGGCAGTATGATATGGGTATAAAAATTCAGGGTGATTGACTTATACTGTACTACTTGCCCCTTTGTAGTGGGAAGGGAAGATGGCTTTTTAGCATGAAGTAGAATTATTGGATTTCCAAGTTAGGCAAAATAACTGAGCTTTAATATTGGTATCACTAATGGTAGAAACCTACTTGCAGAGTTACCTTGATGTTACAGAATGTTTTGTATTACTTTGCCATTTTGCTTTGTAGCCCAGCCATCACAACAGGATGCAGTTCTTTGTTTTAAAACATACTCGGTAATAACAATGGGCTTTCATTAAGCTTTCGTCTATTATCTTTGAGCTACACTGATGTATTTAGGATGTATCTTACTTAAATTTTACTTGAATGCCATCTCTCCTTATTTAAAGAAATGTTAGGATAATTACCGTGTAAAATCACTTATGTTTATTTTTTAAGCAGAAATGACAACTGTAGCTATGCAAAACGTGATTGATAATGGTGTTTGTATTTATATTTGCTTAGGAGTTCTAGTTCGGATCAGTGTCATTTGCCTAGGTGATACTGTACATTCAGGGTCTGTTTCAGAAATCCCCCAGAAAAAGGAATCAGGTGGGAATAGTATTGAATGACCTATGCAGAATGACGTACATCAGACCACTGAATGTGTGTATACAGGCAGCATCAGAGCTTAGCCACCTGACTTCCAGCGTAGTGATCTACTGGACCATTTTGCTTATACAGATAGCGATTGTTAGCTCTCTGTTTAAAGAACATAAATAACTGCCATAACCAAATACGCTATGTACCAGATTTACTGTCTGTATTTTTTATCTGTCTCTATAGGTCTCTTTCAGGTTGTAATAGCCACTTAGTAGTAGCAGTAACTCATGAAGGTCAGTTTTCAGCTTTCTGGTGGAAATCACATGCAGCAACACTGTCTTTCTCTTGTCCAGAATAAAGAGTACAGCTGCTTGATCTCAGCTTAGTAATGATTATTTGTTAAAAGCTTATATTACCAGAATATGCTGTGTGAGTTCCAGCCAACTGCATTATTTATGTTGTTTTTCATGTAAAATACATATGCAGTGTGAGGTGCATGCACAACTTCAAAATCATAATTATTGTAGATACAATTTGAGAATGTCTGGAAAATACACAATCTATATGAATATGGAAATAGCTCACGTAAAAAATATTTTTCCTTTGAACACAATGCAGGGAGAGTTAAAGGCTACAAACACTTCACAGAATGAAAAGAATTTAATTGTGAAGGTGGCATCTCATAAAGAAGAACTTAATTCTGAATTAGGTTCAGCAAAAAAGGAGTTAGGATTCAGTGAAGAGAGAACTGGTAAAATTTTGAAGGATATAAAGGTATGCTGGAATTCTGGGGGCAGTTAAATTATTTGAAAATCACTTTTCAAATAGAACCTTAGATTCTGAAATGTTTAAGTTCATGTATATATGTCAGTATATGTATTTCCATGTTTAAGTGCTAAAATGCTAAAAGTTTTAAAGTAGGCTGAGGGAGGAGGATCATCAAAGTTGGAGAATATATTGAATCAAAGTAAACTACTGTGTCTTCAAGCATTCATTACAATAGACCTTCTCCTATGGATCTAGCTCATGCCAGTATAAGGAAAAGTACAGTGTTTGGTTTAGAGTATCAAGTATCTGAGCAAGATAGTGACCATGAGCCTGAGAGCTGGCAAAGGGGAAAAATAACAGTATTTGTGTACTTCTGTTGTGGTATGGATTAGCTAAATGCCATTATACAGGACATCTTCAGAGGAAAAGAAGTGACTGCTGCTTGGAGTACCAAGATGAAAAACCCACATGAGATTAAGCAGCTCTTTACTTAACCCTGAATAGTGAGTGAGAGTTGGTTCAAATTGTTAATACTGGAGAGCCTTTGTGTAATAGTGAACATAACACAAACAAATGCAGCATTTCTAAGAGACCCCCTCTGGAGCAAAGAAACCCCCTATGGTTATTCTTGGGTTCAAAAATGGGAACAATGTGAAAATTAGGAAATGTATTAAAATGAAAGCTGGAGGAGCATCTAAAAGGGTAAAGTACTTGCAGCTAGCACTAGACTTAAAACAGGCTAGGACTCATCAGCTAAGATGGATGAGTAGCACAAAAGGATTAAGGTGACGGTCTAAAATGGGAGAGAGAACAATTATTCACTGTATCTTACAATGTAAGAGGTATGGAGGATGAAATGAAATTTGCATGGTGGAAGGTTTAAAATAAACTAAAAGAAGTATCTTTTCAAACAGTGCATCATTTAGACTCTTAGCCACAGTATCTAAGAGGTCAAAAGCATAATTTTGTCTCAAAATGAAGGAAAAATCAACCAAGAACTGTCAAACAGAAAGATGTTGACTGCGTATGCGGCCTGGGATGTGTAGAACTTGGAGAGCAGGGAGCTGGGCAGGCATGCTTGGGGAGGTACCACGTTGCAAGAACAGGGCAAAGCTCTGCTGTCTGGCAGTGTTCCTTTGCAGAAAGAGTTTTCTAGTCCTGTTAAACCTTCCTTGGGATGATGACAGTAAAACAGAGAGGGAACCACAGAACCAGGGATCCAAAAATTCCTGATTTGAAGAGAGGAGAGAAGGGGGCAGGGGGAGAAGGCAGCAAGAAGAGAAAACAGACCCCTCTTAAAGCAGTGGGTGGGCCACCTTGGAAGGGGGCTTTGAGAGGATTCAGTGCTTGGGGCACTGAAGATGAAAAGTGTGGAGGGAGCAAGGCAGTTAGACCTTCTGCATAAGCTGTGGAGGCATTAGAAGAGAAACTGCAGCTTGGCATGCTCAATATATGTTCTGGAGTCTTCCTTCTTGCCACAGAAGAGGCACAGCCTTTGCTGTGAGCACACCTGTGCCTACTTTTCCATTAGGAGTTTCTATATTAATGACATCAGTAAGCCCTGGAATTACAGCAAGTTGGGCACTAGCCTTAGGGTTCCTTAATCACTTGGTGATGGCAAGTCCTACTGCACTGGATCCCTGAGGTTATAAGAATGAGGGTAAAGGTATTTTCATGATGCGTTTCAGAGATGTTCCATTTGGATGTCAGCCTACAGGTGAAGTGAGTAACAGGTTTAGAGGCTGAAAGACAGGAAGGTTTGACTTGACTTGTGGAGCAAGCAATGGGACTTGCTGGAGCAGTGGCTCTGCAACAGCAGACTTCCCATGGTGTCTGACACACCTGCTTGTTGAAAAGAGCATTAAGGTCATAGAAAAAGAAAAATAACTTCAAGAGGCCTTGGGAAGGGAAGAAAGCTCTTTATAGCAATGCTGACTAAATGAGAGCCCTTGTAGCAGGGATGTATCTACATACTCTATGGCACGGTATTGACATTATTCAGATGTCTCTGCAGTTTGAAGGTAGAAGTCTAGCCTTGGCCTGGTCAGTGACCATGCCCTCACACTATGGGAAAGATGCTGGAAAGGTTCTGTGGCTGTTCTGATACCCAAGCTCTCGGCCAGTTATGTGCAAGAATCATAAGAACTGAGGAAGATGGACACCTATTGTGTCTGCTAGCTGTGTTTCCCTGTTGGCCTCTGTCAGAGATGGTGGTTCATTAGAAAGACTTTGGTCTGACCTAGTGTGCCTGTTTTGATGGAGTCAAAGTTTGAGAAATGGTCTGCAGTGTTGCTGATCAGCAGAGACCTAAGTTTGTTGTTTGATGCTTGGAAAAATTAAAAAAAAAAAAAAAAAAAATAGGTAGAGAACCCCTGTGGGAACAGGATGCTAAAAGGTGCAAGTATGGCCTTACCAAAATTTAGGATATAGTGTGTTGGTGTGTATGGCTGCTGTGTGTCTCACATGATGGGACATGTGAATCCTTGTTGCTGTTCCCTCCAGTGACTAGTAGTAGATGGTCGACAGTTTCTTCTGCACTGAAATGGCAGGCATAGGAACTGCCTGTAGAATTCTTAACCATTTTTTCCTGGTGCACTGGGTCAGGAATTAGGCCTTAAGATAGTTCAGGAGATTTGTCCACTTAGGAAAGCATCAGGTTTTGATTTGTATTTATTTGAAAGTAGGAAGATTATCTACACAGCTACAAAGAATACCCTTTTTTCCTGATTGATACAAAAGTCAGCTCTGCAGAATTGGACAGATTTTTTTTTTTTTTCTCTTATTGATGATACGCTTGTTAAAAAGCCTGGTTGGCTGGCATATAAAATGTACTAAACTGCTGGACCATTTTTACATAAAACCTGAGAATAATAAAAGATACGACTATTAAATTTGAGGAGATATTTTTAAATGCATGTTTTTCAGTTTGTAAAATCATATTTAAATCCCATTAAACAATTAATACGTGTTATTTCATTGTAGGAAAAAGATGAAGTTACGTTTAACTTGACGACTCGCAACATAAATCCAAAAACTCAGATTAAGCAATCACAGGAAGATATCTTGGCTCAGGAATTGGCTGTGATCAACAGCTCAGAAGAGGAGCAAAATTTGAAAAAGATTTGCCAGCAAATGTTGGAAATTCATCAGACTCCTGATTCCCCAGAACACAATTTGAACATAGGCAAAGACACTTCGAAAGACTTCCAGAATTTCATTGCAGGTATGGCTTCATGGGGCTCGCCTGAGATTGTGAGAAAGCAAGATACAAGGGAACTTCAACCAGTGCTTCATCTGACACCCTTTTCGGAAGTTGAAAGCACAGATTTTGAAATTATGCAGACCAGGTCATCCATGCAAGAAGATCATTCTGTATTCCTGGGATATTCAAACCTGTATGAAAATGGCAGTGAGGAAGCAGCAGTGGGAGTAGATAGAAAATCTCCAGCTTTCTCTGAAAGTACCTACTCTGTTGATGATGACCAAGATACGGAGAAGATTTCGGTAAGTGATATTTCATGTCTGATTTGATTCTAATTAAACAAGACTGCTCAGCTCTGTCCCTCTTGGATCATTGTTGAGCCATTGGCTCCAAGCAGTAGAAACTTACACACTGAGAGGGGTAGGCCCAGTAATGTTAATGTTCTGGACATATGATTGTTAGTTCCTCTTGCTGTCAGACAGTGGAGCAAATTCTGGCCTGTATCAAAACAGTGTTTACTGCTGCTTCTAATAATTGAAAACACTCTTCTAAAACCTAAAATTGATCAATAAGCTGCTTACAGCAGGCTTTGTGTCCTGCAGATCTATACGCTGCTGATGTGGTGTTAGTCAAAATATGGGTATTGATCTTGTGCTCTCAGATTTGTTGAGAGGACTCTTCAAATCCTGGTAGTTTTGCAGTGACGCTGCATGGAAGTAATGGATAAATTTGTGATAATACTTCATGGGCAAGTAATTGAGCTAAAACCTGAAAAACTTTTTTGCTACCATGGCAGCAAAACCAGTTCTCCACTTATGAGTATCTGTCATTGAGTGTTAGAAGAGACTGTTTCAAAATTGGAGAACAGAGGTTTTTCTTTTTAATGGAAATATTTTATATATTTGTGTCTGTATCATTTCACAGGAAGATAAAGTCTGTACTTCAGATATTTGATTTCTGGTTGTATATTTTTGTGCCTTGCTGTTGAGGGGCAATTAATCATAAATACATCTCTGTTTCTTAAGACTATTGAGAGGGGGAAAAAAATTAGATGGAATGGGTTCCAAAAGACCACAGACATTGCATTCATTGTGGTATTTGCCATCTCTAACACTATGATCGAGCTGGCATTTGCTAAAATCTGCATTAGTAACAAAGTTGTTATAAATGCAGAAAACTCTACAGCTGGATTCAGAAAACTAAATTAATGTGAAAAATTATTTCCAAGCAGATGAGAGAAGCTGATAATCTAACTTTAACCTCTTCTGATTTACAAGATGATGTAAGATCAAGAGCATCTGTCATAGATGCAATGAGCGATGGATATGGCAGCAGTAAGTTTAACTTTGTAGATTCCTTTCACCTTTTGTCAACTTCAGTATAAAAATATTATAATGTTTTCTTTCTTCCATTTCCTTTTACTGTCGATCTTTTATTTGAAAGCTATGCCTTTGTCAGGTGGTTCTTCGTTTAGAAAGAGTTGTGTATTTGCGCTAGTGGAAGTCTGCTTTTACCTTTTCATCTTTACATACTGAAAAGGAGGCATGGGGTTTTAGTGAGTCCTGACTTAACTAAAACACTTTCTCTGGTGCTAAAGGCAACTTGCAACCTTTTTACTTGCTTAAGTTAGTTGATATCTCGCCCTGCATTCATACTAGCAGAAGAAATCATGGTTATTTTGCAAGCAGTTATGCTGGTGTCAAGTTCTTTTCATCTTTATAACACTTGTGGGGGCGGGGGGCTGTCTCTTTCTTCAGATACCAGCTCAAATTTGGCAGCTAAACTAAAGCAGGAGTTACAAATGTCAGACCACATAGATCCTAGTTTCACGGCTTATCTGCAGTACCGTGGAACGTTTCCAGATGTTATGGAATCAATGAGAGAAAAGGAGATACTCTCACCGCAGCTCAAGGTAATATATGATTAATATAAACATACTAGCAAATTAAAACTGAAACAGCGAAAATTAAATGCTAACATAAAGTAGAGTTAGCTGCTACCTTTACACTGTAAACTGTCTGTAATGGTTTAATCTTCAAGTTGATTATGGTTCTTGAGTCATTTTTGCATCTTTCGTGTGACAGATTTACTGACACTTGTCTTGCTTGTGCTTGCTAGAATTTAAAAAGTTTTGCTAGGACAGCACGAGTGATGTTCCAGAATGTGGCAGTACAAGGAATGACTGATCTGATTTATGGGTTTGTCTTGGAGGCTTTACAGAAAGCTGTTTCATAAGTAAGCATAGCTAGCTGACATCATGCTCCCCTGCCTCTTCTTCTTCTGATATGATACAGAGCTGTGGAAACGCCACTGTGAGGTGTGGAGGGATCTTTCAGAGTCAGTTCAAGGAGCATGAAGAATGTACAGAAGACTGAGCAGTGATTGCTTAGTCTAGTCAGTAAGGCAAGTTAAAGAAAGTATATGCCTGGGACTCTTTGGTTTGGTGCTGTAGCTGAATAAGCTCTCAGCCATTCCAGGAACTCCAGCTGGTAAAAGGGAGAAATTCAGTGCTCCAAATAATCTGTGGCTGTGGATGTCATAAAGGCTGTGGATGTCATCTACCTGGACTTTAGCAAAGCCT